GGCAGCTGTCAGTGTTTGCTGAGCCTTCCTCTGCGGCGCAGCTGTCTGCACAGCACAGTGAAGCTCCTGAAGAAGAAAACTGCCGCAGAGAACTGGTGGCTGGAGCGGCAGTTGAGGGATCCCTTTGTCAAGGCAGCGAAACAGCAGCATTACCGTTGCCGGAGTGCCTTCAAGTTACTGGAGATAGACGACAGGCTTCATATTCTCCGCCCAGGACTTTCTGTTCTTGACTGTGGAGCAGCACCTGGTGCTTGGAGTCAGGTTGCTGTAGAGAGGGTCAATGCCTTAGGCACTGGTGAGTGCACATTTTTGGTGTTCAGGACGGGGTGTGGTTGGTGTGTTTTGAGGCACTCATAAGGAAAAGCATGATCTTGTGTTGGATTATACTGCCAGCTCTGCAAAAACAAAAAAACAAAAAAACCCCCCAAAAACGCAATAGGTTTACCTCTTGCCTATCTGATGTAACTGGGTTTTAACATTGTAAATGCTTTGACTAGTAGCAGACCATATTGTTGCATGCAGCAAACCATTTATGGAAGGGCAGGAAGACTGTTTGTGGCAGGCGATAACTTTTTGTTTACTGAATATAATGGAGTTCATGTGTATGCAAATTGTCTTCAACCATAAGAATTCAATGTGATGTTCATTCTTACAACCTAGATCCTGCTGCCCCCACTGGCTTCGTCATTGGAGTTGACCTCCTACGGATTTCCCCGCTGGAAGGCGCAGTCTTCTTGTCACAGGCTGACATTACAGACCCAAGCACACAAAGGGCAATTCAGAATCTGCTTCCTGCAGAGAAGGTGGATGTTATCTTGAGCGACATGGCACCTAATGCAACAGGCATTAAGGAGTTGGATCATCAGAAGTTGATCAGTTTGTGTTTAGGCCTTGTGAATCTGTCACAAAGTATTTTAAAGCCAAAAGGAACAATACTGTGTAAATTCTGGGATGGACATGAGTCCCGTGTTCTTCAAAACAAATTGAAGGAGCAATTCCAAGATGTGAGAACTATAAAGCCTCAGGCCAGTCGGAAGGACTCATCTGAATCTTACTACTTGGCAAGATTGTACAAAGGGAAATGAAAGCTGGGAAATGCAGATTATCAAACAGGTGATCAGAGACAGACTGGAAATCTGAATTTGGCATGTGTTTAAAGAAAACTCCCAGCATGAAGATCCCCAGCTTGAACTATGAGATTGCTGAGAACAACCTCAGAAATCTGCTGCAATTCTCACAGAGTACATCATGCTTTTCAAATAGGAAAATAAAACCAGGGTGCTGCCCCACTGTGTTTATCCACTAATTGCACAAGCAGAGACATCCAATCTAGCTTCACACCTGTGGAGAAAACAGTTGGGAATGGAGAGGAATAATCTGAAAGGCAACCTCTGGGGCTGTTGTAATGGAAATGAAAATAAAGCAGTGATTACATGAGTTCTTAATGTGTGCTTGAAAATCATTGCATTTTTAATGCTGTCAGATTTGAGACTAACCATAAAGGCGCTTGTCAGAACGAGAGGGGTTGGCTGGGGGGGGTTGAGCCAGTTTATTTCCTCTTCATCTTTCCTAAAAGCTGATGTAATTTATTAGCACACATCAAAACAGCGTTTTTGTGCACGTCAGAATCTGCGTTGTCACATACAGTCTCCAGTGCAGACATTTCAAATGTCTGGCTCTGGCCGTGGAGTATTCAGCTGATGGCTTTGTTGCATTTCCTAAAGATACAGCTTATATTTAGAAATCACTGCTTCGCTGTGCTCATAAATCCAGTGACAGCAGGGCAGCATCGCCGCAGCTGAGATAATTCCTGCCTGTGTTCTCAGTAATGTTTTATGGCTGACCAGTAATGTTTATTAGGCAAAATGACAAGATTTTCCTAGAGCTCAGACAGGTAGAACTGCTGACAGAATGTGATTGAGTTGCCAGAGTTGTTTATAAAAATAGATTTGGCCACTGCCTTATCTGGAAGCGACGACTCCTGCACTGAACAGCGCTGTTATCGGGCTGGCTGTGCCATGGGTTGTAAAAGGGGATGACAGCACTATCTCTTTAGGCTTCCACATCTTCCTCGTCATAAATATGCCATTTTGAACGGCTCACAGATTTATCAGATGGTAACTACTGTGAACTTCCGTTCTTAATTTTCACACGATCGCCAGCGGGCCCGGCCCAGCCCGGCCTGCCGCTGCGATCCGCGCGGAGCATTACGGTAGGAACAAGAGCTGCGCGCCTCGTGCCGTCATTACGGCGTGGCGGGCCGCTCTCCTCGCGAGAGCTGGGCGCGAGTTCGCGTGAGATCTCGGCGGCGGGGCGAGGAGGGAGATCCAAGCGGGGCAGCGGCGGTGAGTGCGGGCGGGAGGGGGAGCGGCGGGGAGGCGGCGTGCAGCGCTGTGCCCGGGGATCCCGCGCCGCACCGCCCGCTGCAGCCCGCCTCCGCCGTTTAGCCTCACCCGTGGCTGAACGCGGCGCTATGGCAGCGAGTAGGGCGGGCAGAGCCGCGTCCCCGTGCTCCCGTCCCGTGAGCGCAGAGCACGGCTGTGCCCCGCTCTGCCGTCTCGCGGTCGGAGCCCCGCGCTGCCCGTCCTTCGGCTGCTCGCGCCGCGGTGGGGCTGGGCGTTGCTGTGGGGCGCTGAACGAAGCAAGGATAAAACAAAAAGCAGGGAAACAGGGCGTGCCTGACTTGTTTGTTGGTGCTGCCCCTGTTCTCCCTGCGCCTGGTTTGAGATCGGTTTGCTGGAAGCCGCTCACCTGTTGGCAGTGTTGTCTTACCGTGCGCGGTAATGCAGCGCTTGTTTCTAATAAACGTTTTCGTTTGGGTTTTGATTGACCTCTTCCCAGCGTGCTTCTCTTGTCTCGGCTCCTGGTGATGGTGCGAGTCCAAAGAGTGTTACTGCTGTGAGTGCGTGGGTCAGCCCTGAGCCCGGGCTGCTGCTGTAAGCCTGTGCGCGTGTCCCGTGCCTTTCCTGGCCCTGAGCCTCCTTTGGTGCTCGTGGGACCTGCAGGGCTCAGAGGAATTCACTTAAAGCTTCCCCAAGCATTCTGGGAGCGCCTTGCCAGCCTCCCTGACCTCCAGCTTTGATGCGTTTTTGGCCATTTAGTACTATTGCAAATCTGAAGGAAGACTGCAAAAACTTCTGCATGAATGAGGAGCTACGTCTTGCTAATGGAAGCGGTCTGTCAGATGGGTGAGACATGGAAGTTAAATACCAAAGCGCTGTTTGGAAACCAGAATCAGGCTGCATACAAGGTAGAGCTTGCTACCCATGTGGGATGAATTCTCTTCCTGCCTCAGCCCTTCTTTTGTTTGGGGGCAGGGTAAGAAGTTCTTTTTGTGTGATGTGCTGCAGAGCTTCTGTCCTGTGGTGTTAACCTGTATCCCTGAGTCGATCCTGATTACATAGGAAGGAAGAACTCATTTTGGTGTAATTTAAGGCAAATTCTGTCTGCAGATTAACTTGCAGAGATTCAGGGGAATGTATCTAAATAAAAGCAAACCATTTTGGTTATAACGCTAAAGAGAGAACAGGCTTTTTTGCCTCAATTCCTCATTCCAGAGATCTACAACTTCTGCCTCAGTTGTGTGGTGTTTTCTGGTTGAGGTGACCCCAGCAGTGGCAGGCAGGTTACATTCTGTGCTGTGTAAAATGGAAGATATTGCATTTTGTGTTATTTTAGGGCAGCACTGCCTTTTTTTTTTTTTTTTTTTAGTAGAGCATCAGTATACTTCAGATTGCTCTGGATGCTTCACTGATAACTTTTTGTGTATTTCCAGAGCTATGGAGGACTTGGAAGATAATACCACTGTCTTCTCCACCCTGAGATCCTTCAACAACTTCATTTCACAGCGTATGGAGGGGGTGTCCGGGCAGGCTGTGCCAGCATCATCTCAGAGCTCCTTGCAGATTCAGTACCAGCAGAGGGTGCAGGTGAGGTGTCCTCAGCATGCTGGTGCCTGCAGCATCTCTTCTGTATGGCTGTAGCCTCCTTTGCGTTCTAAGCATCAGGGTTATTTCATGAAGATAAGACCATTCTTTATAAAATTGCTATTCATGCATGCTCAGTAACAGAGATTTGTTTTCTGACAGTGTTCTGGAATCTTTATACTTGTTAATGTATTTCCAGTAAGTCACTTATTTACCTTAAATTTTCCTTGCATGGACACATGGAAGAGACTTGCTATGGCTTCAGCGTGCCAGTCAGTTGGGATTTCTTATCTGCCTCTCTCTGTATCCCCAGGTCATCTTGACTTTTCCTGCAAGCTGCATTTTGCTCTTACGGCATGTAATAAGTTGACATCTTGCATTGTAAGCCCTATTATGCTGCAGTAAAGTTTCTGTGTGTTGATATGATTTCTAAGTAAGGCTTTAAATGTAGTATGATCTTACTGTCTTCTTAACATAAAACTGCTTTACATTTGGAATATTAAAAGTACTGAAAAAATGTGTGGATTTTTTTTGTCAGTGGTGCATCTCTGGTTGCACATCACCTCCACCAGTGATGTGTTAAATGTACATTGCTTAGAAGGGAGGTATTCTTGTAATATTGTGTGTGTTGTAATTTAATCTAAAGTGTCATATTGTAGCAGGTCACAGAAAAAAGAAAATGCATTATTTTGCTCCACGCTTACACTTAATTGGGTGCCTGATCTCTGCTTATTGGTAGCTGCTGTTAATTTTATAATGCTTGGGGAGTTTTTTGTAATTTGTAATTTTCTAATTAACTTTTTTTAGATAGAGAAGTACATTTTGTCAGATAAAGTACCTCTAGAGACGAAATGAGAAATTCAGTATGAAACTCTGAATTGCAATTCAGAACTTACATTCACATCCTTCCAGCTAACTCTGCTTTGATTCAGTTGCCTGGCCGTGTAGTTGAGCTCTTGGCCTTGGCTTCCTGATCTGCGGCTGGTGTAAGAGGACAAGCTCAACAAATGTGGTGACAGTTGCCTTTTAGTTTGTGAAATGCTATGCAACTATCAGCTGGGTAGTACAGAATAGAAGGTAACAGTATTATTGCAGCACCGTTAATGATGTGCACTGTCTCTTTTCACATATGAACTGGGCAGTTGGAAGAACAAGCTGGGCAGATCCATTCCAAATCGCAGCTCCTGCAGGTGGAACGGGAGAAGATGCAGATGGAGCTTAGCCACAAACGAGCTCGCATTGAGCTGGAGAAGGCAGCTAACACTAATGCCAGAAACTACGAGGTAAGTAGGACAACTGTAGACGGACAGCTGTAGTTATCGCGGGTCTGAGTTAGAACATATGTGGTGTATCTGTGTTGATGTTTTAGTTTAGATCAGGGAAATGCTTCTGGCTGTTCTCACGTGCTTGCTTTGGTTTGCAGTGCTGTGTCTCAGGATGTGTATACCAGACTCTTTTTGGATGAAACTAAACTAAAAGATGCAGTCCAGGAGCAAGTGCTCTCCAGCTGCTAATGAGCACTCAGTCTTCAGAGCAAGATTTGAGCTCATCTGTAGTAAAGACTTCTAAAGGGCATATGGTGTGCATGCATTGTGCTGCTTGCTGATGTGCACAGATCCTGTGTGAATGTCAGAACATTGTTTGCTCCATGAGCAGTCTGATCTGATCACTAGATCTTGTTAACGTAGCATTGGAATTGTCATGGGTAGCAATAACAAAAAGGGATTTGTTCTTTGTTTCCCCTGGAAATATTTAAGTGCTTTTTTTCTCCTAAATGTATTTAAACTTTTGCTGGCACAATGGCAAGTATTTAGTTTCTGTGGCTGTAATTTAATTGGAATGGCAGCAGTGCCAGCCATACACTGTCACACAAGAGAGCTTTCATTGATAAGACTGTGAGCCTCACTCGGGGACTAATAGCTTTTCTTGGTTTCTGATTTTATGCCCATATATGTTTGCTTAGCTTTGTCACTGAAAGTGGCAGTAGAGCTCTGGGCTCTATATGATAATAAATGTCTTATGTGCAGCTGATTATTTAAAATGACTTCTTTTAAGTGTGTTTTGTTTTGTTTTAAGAGTGTTGGGTGATGGATTTGGTGTGTGGTTGTGAAATAGTGGGTCATTGACTCAAGTCTTCATTCCTGTTGAAGTCAGGTGATCTAGGATTAAGCCATGAAGAGTTCAAACTGGAATCTAGCTGAGTCAGTCTCAGAAACCCTTGAAATACTAGTGCTGAAAAGGGAGCAGCACTAATCCAGTGCTGTGGTAATCACCCTGCTCAGATTCTGTCTTTTTTTTGAGTTGTGGATGAAGGTTTTAGGAAGCTCATGCTGCTTTGCATAATCCTTACTATGTAAATCCATGTCTCGATTTGCTTTGATTAGCAAAGCAATTTACTACAGATTTTTCAAATAAGCATTAATCAATTTGTGGTAGGAGAAAACTGAGAAGGTGTATGAAAGATTGTCAGAGTGCAAAAACGTTTGTTATGTTCATTGATTATACTTTGCATTTAAGCCTGCTTGCTTTTCCATTCAATAGCTTCATACAACTGCCAGAAGTTGCAGAGGAAAGTTTGTCTTACTGACCCAACTGTTGAGCTCTGAGGTTCTGAAAGTACACTTGCTACGTGTGGCTGAATTTTAAATCAGAGCATCAAATGTTTTCATCTTTGATCTGCTGTGGAGAGTGCAGTGGAGTCTGTGAGGTCATGTCTGCATTCCAGGATTCATGCCTCTAACAGAGGGAGCAATAGTTCCCTAGCTTTGTTGCTGCCAGTAGTTCCTTGACATTGAGCTGTTGGTCCTGTCCTTGCTAGCGGAAGGGTTAAAGGCCAGAGGTGTTGGTAACATGGCTTTGTGGTGATGCTGTGGTGACCACAGTTACAAGGAGCAGAGGTGAGGGAGGCAAAAAGAACTTCACCTTTGTGCTGGTTTTCTGTGTCTTTTCATGTTCTTTGTTTGTTTTTTACTTTGCAAGCGAGAGGCTGACCGTAACCAGGAGCTGCTCACACGCATAAAGCAGTACCAGGAAAGGGAAACGGAAGCTGAAAATAAACTGAAGGAACAAATGGAGATGAACAAATCCTATAAGAAGAGTATGGAGACAATGAGTAAAAAACTGCAAGAGAAGGAGAGCAAATTAGCTGAAGCTAATGAAGTAAGGACAGAATAACTTTCTTATCCATTTATAGATTCAGGTGACTTTGCAGTTCTTGTGAATGGAAAAAAATGGCCTTTTTGATTTACAAAAAAAAGAAAGTGTATTGCTAGATGTCAGATCACATAACTTTCAATAAAGAGTGCAGGAAGTGAGGGAGGAGATATTAAGATGAAAATTGTTCAGGGGCACTGGGGGGGTTGTAGTGTGGATGAGACTGAAGTTACATACAGTTCATTCTTTGGAATCATTAGTTGGATGTGACTTCTGTGTGTTACAATCCATAATCTCCAGTTTATTCTTTATTCCCACTAATGCAGACAATCACTATATTAAAAGGGAAAATATCTGAGCTACAATGGAATATAATGAATCAAGAGATGCAGATGACAAGCCAAGACTCGCAGAAGCAAGAGCTGATGGAACAGCTGGATGTTCAACATAAGTAAGCAGAAGATGAATAACTATGAGGAGAAAAAAGCAAGCAAAACTTCAGTCTTATGCAGCTGTTGTCACTCAAAAACCTTTCAACGCTGTTTGATTTCCACTCTTCAAAGGGATTCTTTGAACTGGATGTGCAGGTTATAAGTGTTGTTTGAAAGTAGCTCTTAGGAGAATTTTATTTGTACCTTGAGGAAAAAAATACTCAAGTTTAAAATCTCTCTCAGTGATGTTTCATGTTCATGCTGGAGAGTTAACAGAAGGCAGGTGGGTGGCAAAGGCTGATCTGAATTTTATAGACTGAACAGAAGAAAAATATCAAGCCGTAAATCATAGGTGAGGGGTACTTGACAGATGAGTGTGTTTTTCTTTGCTCTCCTTGGTTTTCCTTATTTACTGTGTGTAAATATTTATTGATTTCAGAATAAAAGAGGCTTGACTTCTTTGAATATTTCTCAAGGTGCATCTTTTTAGTGAAGAAATTGGTATTTTTTGTCTCTGAATTACAGGAAGATTGAGTGTGAGGTGATCTTAGATAACTGTGCCATATACTTTGTTAATGATATTTGGAATTGTTTGTGTCACTGATACAGTGCATGTGTCTTTTTCTGGTACATGTTTCCTGGGTGCTAAACCTCTCTTGTCTGTGTCTAATAGGAAATGGCAAGAGGCTACTCAGCAAATCCAGACATTGCAAGCAAGCCAGTCCCTACTGGCAGAATATGAGCAGAAGATTAAGGTAAGACACTGGGGTCTGTATAAACCTTGTTTTGATTTTCTTTAAAAATTTCTTCAATGTCAGAACAGAAGTATTCTGGATGAATGCTCTGTTTGATCTTGAGATCAGTCCATTAATATTCTAGAGCAACCTGGGTGTTTTTTTTTTTTTTTTTTTTTTTTTGCCCCCCTGCTCAAATGCTGGAGAACAATCCTAGCAGCTGTAGTTTCTGCTTCCTGGAAAATCCTTTCTCTGGAGTTGGGGTTAGCTCTTTTTATAAACTGTGATTACTTGCAAAGCTTTCAGAATCACAATAAAATGTAAGCATAGATATTTTTATGTCCTTTCAAATTAACTTGTATGTTGGTGTGAATGTCTTTTCCATTTGCTTTTGATCTTCCTGGAGGAGGTAGGGTTGCTTTGCTCTGAGCAGATGCTGATTATAACTTTATAGCATCATAGAATCATAGAATGGCCTGGGTTGAAAAGGACCATAATGACCATCCAGTTTCAACTCCCCTGCTATGTGCAGGAATGCTGACCAGCAGCCCAGGCTGCCCAGAGCCACATCCAGCCTGGCCTTGAATGCCTCCAGGAATGGGGCATCCACAGCCTCCTTGTGCAACCTGTTCCAGTGCCTCACCACCCTCTGTGTGAAAAACTTCCTCCTAAGGTCTTACTTTTCTTGTAGTTATTGTAAAGTTATGCTGAAAGATAATCTCATTGCTCATGCTGTGATTGCAAGGAGAGACTTCCATCTGTAGGCAAATCCATTAAAAAGAAGGGTGGGAAAACAAGGTATCAAACCACACTACAGCTCTAAATAAATGTCCCCTACCTCCATAAAAATGTTTGCCATAATGCAGAAATGGGCACTTGTATTTCTTTTGATTCCTAATTCCTCAGGACTATCCAAATGTACATCTTTACAGTTAGTTAATGGAAGGCTAGAGGACAAGAAAATCTGAGTTCTGGCTTAGTATGAAGTTGTTTTATTGATTGAGATTACTTTTTTCGTAGGAACTTAGGGTAAACAGAAGGGTGTAGAGAAGAAGCTAGCCCGTATGTTAGAAATGTAACAAATGTCCTTGTTTTGAGCAGTGGATTTGACCATGTGATCTACTGAGGCATGTTCTGAGTTTGTTTGTTCAAGTCATTCATTGATTCAAGTTTTATAAGTACAGAGGAAATGTAGTTTTTAAGAGTTCCAAGTTAATCACTGCTGTCCTTTTGTCATCTCTTGTCTTCCAGGACCTGGAACAGAAGTTCTCCCAGCAGGAACATGATGCTGTTATCGTCAAGAACATGAAGACAGAACTGGCCCGTTTCCCAAAAATGGAACGGGAGCTGCGACAGCTTAGGGAAGAGAATGCATACTTCAGGTGAAAGAAGGGTTCAGTTGTTCAGAGGGTTACCTTCTGTACTTCTGCAGCTCTTATAATTGTACCACATAAGCTTTCAAATCCTTCTGTCAGAATTACCAGGTTTACAGTGTGGCACGTGATACTGTACTTTCATATGGGAAACTTTAGAAGAAAGTTGAAATATTTCATATAAATTCTGCACATGAGTTGATGGTTACTGTGGACAGGACTTGACAAGACCTGGTAATCTTCCCTAACACTCTTTAAAGCCTCACACAATATGTAGTGATAATTTTGAATAACAGTATTTATTTATTAAAACCATATTCAGTGCTTAAAAGATGGTGATGAACTCTGTACAGGTTTGGGAAAGAAAGAACTGTAAAAAAAAAAACCTGTAAAAAATATACATTAAATAACTGTTACTACATAGTTATTGTTACTCCTAGTCTCCCTAGCCTGTTTGATTATCATTTTAAATTGTTTGTCTTGGAATGTTTTCTCACTCTTGTTTTGTGCACATAAAGAACCATGCTATCAACAGAAGTGGTTTTTTTCTTTCTTGAAAGAGTTTATCTCATCCTTGTACAGCTCTGTTAAAGTAAAAGCAAGCAGTCTCAATACTGGCTCAGTCATTGTAGTTTACAAAAAAGCTGCACTGTCTACCACTTGCTGTGTTCCAACCCTGCATTCAGCCAGACTGAAGATCAGAGATCAGAGTTGGGAGCCTTGCAAGCCTTCATGCTGTTTTGCCAATCAGCAAAGCTGATACAAAATTTCAGATTAATTAGGATGGTGCTTGTAGTGGGAAAATTCCAATTTTTTTTTTTTGGTAGCAGCAGCTTTGCAGTGAAGATGATAAAGTGAGTCATTTGAATGTCATAATGTCTGTATGTTGTTATATTACTCCCTTGTAATTGCATGTATATGTGGAAGTTTGTGAGAACATGTTGAGTTGTGTGACTTCTCAATTGCTGCCTGTCTTCTGACCACAGGGAAATGAAAGAAAACAATGGTTTGCTTAAAGAAGAAGTAGAAGGTCTCCAAAGAAAATTGGAACGCTATGAGAAAGTCCAAGCACAGTTAGTGACTGCTGAATTGGAAAATGAGGTGAGGAGCTAAGAATATTTGGATGAGCAGAATTGGGTTTCCTTTGTTGCCCAGCCTGTGTTCTAGGCTCTTCCTGCATTGTCTTACTTGAGACACTTGTTTGAAGTAGTGAATATGAACATGGCTTTCACCAACTTAAATATCAACGTGTGAGAGTGAAGAATAAAAAAGCAGCTGAATCTGTTTCAATCTTCATGTTCTTTTTGGCTCTGCTATTGTATCTTTCTTTTGGGGGCGAGGGGGTAGGGGAGCATTAAGCTTGTGTTACTGGACATGTATATGGTAAGAACCTCAGTACCCCTTGGATTGCTTCCCATGCACTAGCAAGGCCAGAATGTGGTTTCAAATGAGTAGAGCTGTCTCGTTTTCATCCCACCCTGTGTCAAGCCAAGAGATCGAAGTAAATGTATAGACTTACTAATTTGCAGAACCATACTGGTGTCTGGTCAAAGTTGGCTCATATGATCTGGTACTGATTAAAAATAGGAGATGTAGGAGAAATTGGTAGAGAATTGGGTGCTTCAGCTACTGCAGTGTGAGTGTTGGGAATATAGCTTGTTTTCTTCCTCTATGAAGGGTCTTATCTACTGAGGTCTTGTACAGTGGTAGTAGCTCACAGGGCTGGTGTAGCAGAAATGCTAAGTCATGGCTTGAGGCAGTGATTGAGCACCTGGTGGGAAGGCAGGGCCAAACCAGGGGAGCTCAGGTGTATGCAATGCAGCTGAGTGACCAGAAGGGTGGAGCCAGGATCCACCCCTTCCCAGCCCCCATTTAAGGGTTGGCAGTGGAAACAGGGGGATTTCTCTGAAGATCCTTGCCTACCTGAGGTCGTTTGAAGGTAAGAAGCTTTTTTTTTCTGTTCTTTTTGTGCCCCCTTTGCTGTTATGGTTGTGTGAATCCTTGCTTGCTGCAGCCTAGGACTGCCATTCTGCTATCTTTGCTGTGCTTTCCATCATGCCATAGCATTACATCTGGAAAATAAAATGTGCTTAAGTAAGATACAGGCTCCATCCAGTATAACAGAGCTGTGGTGTCTGGGAAAATGGTTGTAGGGTCTGCAGTATGATAGCCTGGAAGTGCTAGATAAGGTACTGAAATCCATAGACAGAAAAGAGTACACTGAGTTTGAGTAGAGAATTATAAGAAAACTGTGGAAAACAAGCTGTTGAAATGTTCTGCTGTGTCTCTAACGTTCCTTTGCTTTATATTTTAGAAACTTCTGGGAAAACTGAAAAGCTGGGAGAAATTGGACCAGAGCACTGGCTTGAATATCAGGTATGTCCTCAGTGCATTGGAAGTAAAACTTCTCAAACACTTTCCTTCTTTAGTTATTTGGCTTCCTCATGTGTGGTGTTATGCTTTCTTACTATCTCTTTACATAGAAGCTGTTCTAATACTTATTATTATATATGAAAAGAGACATAAGATACATCCTGCTATAAAGTATCTTTGGGAAGAAACTTGTTTTTCACTAAGTCAACTTGATCAGCCTGGCTTTAATTGAGTTCTTTGAACTTTTTGCATATAGCTTTGTTGCTGTTTAGGTGGAGGTTCTCCTACCTTAATAGGGAAAGTAGAATAAACTCAGTTGTTTTTTTTTTTTTTTAATGGAAAACAAACAACTGCCAACTGGTGTTCTGTAAGACGACTAATCTCTTTGTGTACTCTTATCTTTCTGATGTCTGGAGCCTTGAACCTGGTTTTTTAAGGTCTTTGGTATGTATGTATGGGAACTGCTGAATCATGGCCTGAACCTCTGAGCACCTGGAGAAAAGACCTGGTCAGCTGTGGGAACACAGGTGAAAGCAATTCAGCTGTGCAACTGGAAGGAGTGGAGCCTGGCTGCACCTGTCTTAGACCTCATTTGAGGGCTGACTGCTACTGAGGAAGGATCTCTGGTTGGAGATCCCTCCTCTGTGGAGTCTTTTCTGTGAGCCCAGGTCTTTGGAGACAGGTGAGCACTCTTCTTTTTCTAACATCCTATCATTGTGCTGGTCCTTCTGCCAGTACAATGTAGTAACATCGTAATATAATGAAAGACTAGAAGTGGTGAATCCTAGGATCTTTTCCTTCCACTGCAGAAGCTTCTCTGAATAGGTATGATGTATTTGTGTGAATTATGGTTCAGCCCTGCTTTACCTTCCCTGAATATTTGCATTATTATGCTAGAAGTGCTGTTGCTTCTTGCTTAAAAGCTGTTTTGGTATAATTCTTGCACAGATCACGTTTAATATTGGTTCAAGCTTTGAGCTGCAACATGAACTCCAAAACCTAATTATACCAATTGTTTCTTTATTGCATTCATTACACATGTCTGAGTTATGCCTGCAGCCTAATAGGGATTATTTGCAAGTGGGAGTGTTTGGATATGCATGTATGATTCGGGCACCTTACTTCTTCATGTGAAGGACTTGTGTTCAGCTGAGGAAAGCCCCTTTAGTTTTTGCAATGTTTTCTGTTTAATAATGAACCCTCTCTAGATGTATGGAAGTAGGTAATGTGCTTAAGATTCTCTTCTGCTTCTGGTGAAGATGTGTGCATTTAGATGAAATTAGAATTGGGTTAAATCTCCAATGGCAGAGAATGGACAGAACAACTATGGATCCTTCTCAAAGAACTCCTTCCATCAGACAGTAGAGTAAAAGCTTTTTACTTAACTCAAGCTGTTAAAGGTTTAATGAGGTAATTTCGCAGTGGGAGAGAAATGGAACCAAGTGATTCTGCCTGTAGAAGTCTAGTAACTCCTTCATTTAAAATCAGAATATTCACTGTTAAGCGTTGGGTTTTTGATTGGGCCATATTGTTTAGCACTATTAGTTGTATCTTCTCATACAGAAAAGGGAATTGCTCTTGAGAAGAATCATCTTTTGCATACAATTGTAGCAAGTAGAACTGGGTGATTATCTCCTCCCACCGCTGTTCTTTCTTTCCTTCCTGTTGCTCAGATGTGTTTCAGCATGAGTTCTGTTCATTTTCAGGCAGTGTGATGATGATGAAAGATCATTGTCCTAGTCAGGTTCCTCCATTATGCTGTTGGGAAAAGCTTGAGGAGAAGTTAATTGGCCATCTCATAGAAGAAGAAAACAGGAGCAAGTTGGATGGTTGTCTGAAATAGCCAGTGTGATGTGTTTGCTAGTAACTAGATAATCAAAGGGAAGGAGTGCATTAGGACTTTTCATGTTTTCTTATCACTTTCTTTAGTACAGAAAATATATGGAATTGCATAAAGCTTGTGGCATTTTAGGAGAGGATGGGTTTTTTGTTTCCTGCAGTACTTCCACAGGGCTTATTCTGTGTCTGCTCCCAATGGTTCTGTTCACTGATTGCTGAGTCCCAGCAGGCTTTTTGTCACATTGGCTTATGATCAGATCTGTGAGTCTAATTTTATGGAAAAGCACTTGGAAAGAAGATGCAGCTTTTAGGAGTGGAGTGGTAATCCTACTGTTTTAGCTCTTTCAAAGTTGCCAGAAGGAGATGAGTGCTAAGTGTTTTATAGTGCTTCACCGTTGGTTGAAATTACGTTCATTAGTAGTTCTCTCAAATAATTTTATGATTGCCAGTTCTGGATTCTTGTACTTACAGAGAGGGAAGGTACTCAGTTTCTTGTGCTAGAAAGCTCCTGGGCTTTTCCCCTTGCTCTCAGAAACTGTGGAAATAATGACAGTTCATCTGTTTTAGCTTTAAGGCAGGAGTGTGTTTGCTCTGCTGTTGTGCAGTGTTGTTCAGCCCTTTTGAATTATACCTGCCTTACCCAAACGTGCCATAATTGGAAAGCTGCACTGCACCCAAACAAGAATGTAATACGTGCCATAGTTACAGGTGGTTCATATATACACATAATGAGTCATGTAATCTCTTTTGCTTCCAGTTATGTCCTTTTGATATCTTTTTACTGCCTGCTTTCCAATGTTCTTCCTTTTATCTTGGATGTAACTTTGCTTTGTAGGAACACTTCCAGGTCTCTTTTGTATTGGTTTTGCTTGATATTCCTGCCGTAAGACTTGTGAAAGCAAGACGTGTTTTGAAATTCTTGCTTTTTGAGTAGAAAGTATTGCTAATTTTTTGATCTTAGTCTTTGAGGATGGCTATTGTAGGAGTCTGCTGTTAGGAAAGACTTAACGTCGGGAAAACATGCTGCTTGTTCTCTTTCTCCAGGCTGTGCTGACAGTTTGTATTTCTACAAAATATCATGTTTGTGTAGTTGTTATTGACCATCTTCAGTTAAGAATCAGCAGAATCTCAACAGACTTGTTTATTTTCCTAGAGGTGCACTCTAGCTTAGGGATGTTTTCCATGTGATTTGACTGCCATCTGCAATATGTATTTTAACAGGGAAGTATTACTGGAAGGCTGAGTGTTGTCAGTATGTAGAAGGCAGGTGGTTTGTTCTGATGACAGTGTACACAACCACCCACGAGGTGGCATCCTTTCACCTGCTGCTGTGAAAACTGCTTTCTGCTTCGGGCCAGCCAGCTCAGCCTGGGCTGAAGAAACATCTGGGTGTGTTAAGATTTATCAGCTTGTTTAATGGGAATCTGTCATTGCTGTTATCAGATCTTCTGAAAACTGCTCAGTGCTGCATACGTGCAGTTACTGTCTCAATGTCCAGTTTCTTTTCCTGCTCAGGGCAGTAAGATAGAATGGCATGGAGAAGCTTTGAGTATATTTCTCTAACACCATACAGAGTAGAGCTTTTTTTCAACCAACTTTAAGCTTCATATCTACACAGCCTGTTCTTCACTTTTTGTTTAATAGAAGTTCTTCACTACTTGACTTCCCCCCCCCACCATTATTGTTCTTGCTTCCTCTCCCTTTTGCAGCGCATAGGAGACACCAAATACAAAATGAGGGTTCTTGTTCCATGGACTTGTTTTTAAAAAATGATGTGTATTAAGAGAGTAAGCTCTTCTGTGCTGCTCAGAGACTCCAGTTGTGGCCTGGACCTTCCTGAACTGCATCAAATATGGTTACAGTGGAAGACAGATGTTAAGCCCAGTGCTTGTGGTGTAAGGCTGACCTGGAGAGGTTCTTAGTTTTAATGAAGCATGAGTTTAGGGAGCACCTGTAGTTGTCCTTCAGTTTACAAGGGTGAATTTAGTTAGCTTCAGTGGTATCACATTGAGCTGCTGTTGCTGTTTTGCGTGCTTGCTGTCCAGACCTGTAGAGAAGTGCAGATTTGACAGCAATTCAGGCCAATGTTTAAGGACTGTTTTCACTTAGTGGAGCCTGCCAGCTGCAGACAGCAGACACTGATCTGCTGACCTGTCGCCTAGAGCCAAAGAAGTGAACCTGTTAATGCTGACCTGCTTTTCTTTCTGAAACATCTGTGGGCTGGCTGGCTGACAGATCCTGGGGACTGGCTTCCTGCAGTGCCTGAGACCAATTAGGAAGAGGAGATAGAGGAAATGTATACACATTCACACTCTAAGAAAGGGTCTAATTAAGTGGCGAGTAATTCATAATTACACAGGTGCTACACAGTACTGGTAGTCCTTCTGTGCTTGTTCTGCTTTTGGAGTTGGGGGAGGGGAGGAGAGGAGGGAAAAGGGAATCAAATTCCTTGATTCTGCATTTAGTGGTGGATTAGTGCTTTTTCTTCTGTGAATAGAAGAGAAAGGAGAATATTGGAGTTCTCTAGTTTCTTCTTTGAATTGTGATTAACTATGCTTAGCGCTCTCTTCCATCCAAGGCATTGAATATCTCTGCAGTAGTGAATGAAGCTCATAATCTTCTCCTTTCTCAGGAGGTAGTAATTTACCTTTCTCTGAATGTCCATTTTGAATAAGTCATTGCTGGCTTTAAAAAAAAAAACAGCTGTTAACAGGTATACAAAACAGTGCGTGCTGAAATAATTTGAATTGCTTTGTATCTGAATGTGCGTTTCTGGATACTTAATTAACTGGAACCAGTCAATGCAAAACTGGGGGGTGATTGTTGCTGATTCCAGTAAAGTCATAATGGGGGTATGATCATGATGTGGCCAAGCTAATACTTCTATTGGAGTAGCCTGTTGTTGCCATCTGGTCTTTCATCACCAGTCAGGGGTGAATGAGTGCCTTATGCTGGCAGTGTTGGACCACTGACCCTGAACTTAAAACACTGATTTCTGGTTGTTTTTTTTTTTTTTATTTTGGTTTAGGTTGCATAGTGGTGGATCCATACTTCAGAATTACGTTTCTAATTGAAAATGAGAATTAGTGAGGTATGAGGGAAGTGAGATTTTGTGCACATAAGCTTTAGGTAAATAATTGTTCACAGATCCTAAGTTACATGCT